TGATAACTAAATCGACTGTAAAAATAACAAAACCAATTAGATATAACATATCTACATTCATCTGCTAAAGTACTATAGTATTATTAATATAAATTATGCATATAAATTATAAATTAAAGTAAATAGCAAGCAATTTTTATAGTATATTTGTTTTATAAATATTTATACCCGTGCATGAGCACGGGAAAATCACCTAGTTTTAAGTATTACAGGGAGCCGTTTCTAAACATGGAGTCATTCATTTCAACACGGGAACGATTCATTATACTTAGGGGTTGATTGGTAGAGCATTAGAATAAGCTTTATGCTCTCTATTATCCAATCAACATTTGGCAAAGAAGCATTTAGAAAAGCATTTACCAAATGCAAATGCTCTCCAAATGCTCTTTGCTCAATGCTCTCATATAGAGCTTTTAGGAGAGCATTTGCATATAGAAAATATAAAATTTAATAATATTTATATATAATTAATTTATTTTTGTTTAAAAATATAAAAAATATTTTATAATTAAATATAAATTTATATTTTAAAAAATAAAATAAAATTATAATTAATTATTTTTTAAAGAACAATATTTCACATTTAAAATATAATATAATTTATATAATTACATATATCATTCATTATTTTTAATAACAAACATAACATAATATAATTTATATATTATCGATATAAACATATTATCTAGACACTAATAAATAAATTATATATTAACTTTTATGATAATTTTATATATGAGTAATTGAGTGCTCTGCCAATAAATAAATAATAATAATTTATATATAAATTAGAATTAATTAATTAATTTATTTAATAATAATTATAATTTAATAATAATTAATTAAATTATAACTATAATTTTATATATGAGGAATATGTTATATCCAAAAAAATAATATTTTTAAAAAAATTAATTTTTAAATATAATTTACATAATGAAAATTAATTATTTTTAATAAAATTATATATTATTAATATATACTATATATATATATATATTATTTTAAAAGAAATATATTATTTTACTAACTATTATGACAATTTTAAAATTGTATACTGCTAATGCTCTGCCAATCAATTTATTGAAAAATTTAATGAAAGCATACAGCTTGTATAGCATACTGCTTCTGCAGCATACTGCTACTGCTTTATCATCTGCCGTACCAATCGAGGCCTTATAAGGTAAACTAGCACAAATAATTGTAACTAACCTTTTTCTCACTATTCACTTATTGGACAGCGCCTATAAATAAAACGCTTCTTCCTCTTACATCTTATTAAAAAAGAAACAGAGCGATGGCGATTAACGGCGAAGATCGCATCTCCGGTGAACGTCCGATGATCATGGTCACCAACGACGACGGGATAGACGCGCCTGGTCTCCGCTCTCTCGTTCGCGTCCTCGTCTCCACCAACCTCTACGACGTCCGCGTCTGCGCTCCCGATTCGTACGCTCTGCTCTTTAAATTATGTACAAAATGTAGCCTTTTGTATAGCGATTGTTCTTAGAGATTGTGATTGTAACTCTTAGGGAGAAGTCTGCGGTTAGTCACAGTATCATATGGAGCAGACCTCTCACTGCACAGCGAGTTGAGATTGAAGGAGCTGAGGCCTTTGCTGTTTCTGGTCTGTTTCTATTTACCCAATTCTTTTTTAGATTAATTTGATTTATATGTTTTTATACATGTGAAGGAACCCCTGCGGATTGCACTGGTTTGGGCTTATCGGAAGCACTCTTCCCTTCTCTCCCTGACCTGGTAATAGCCAATTATTGTCTGTATAAAGTGGAAAGTGATTTTATTGATCTGTCAGATGAACCTTCGGTTTATGTTTGACAACATATACTTCTGCTTGAATTAAACATTTAAGATCTGTTGGTTCATGTTGCCTTTTCCCTTTTATTGTCCTTTTTTGGAGATTGTGATGTGTGTTTGCTTTCTTCATGCAGGTTCTTAGTGGTATAAACGTGGGTAGCAATTGCGGATATAACATGTATGTCAACATTTCCTCCAACCAAAACTTGTGTTTGAAAATTGCATTCATGCTCCCAATACTAGCAAGAAATTTGAAACTTGTATCAAGATAAGAACAATATTTTGAGAATGTGTAAGGAGGAACACTAGTTAGAATGTTTCACTGGCAACCAAACTTCTTTCTATACCTATATTAGCATTTACCTGATATGTTGATTCCATGGCAGCGTCTACTCTGGAACTGTTGCTGGTGCTCGTGAAGCCTTCATTTATGATGTGCCTTCTGCCTCCATATCATATGATTGGTAAAGAGTATAGCCTCAAGAAAGCTAATATTTCATTCGGCTTCTTCTCTATTTTATGTCACCAACCTACATTTTTCTTTAGCCGTCTAACATTGTTTATCAAAACCATCTATTTGTTGTCACCATTATGCTCTCTCTAGGAAACGTGGAGACATCAATGTTAATGATTTTGTCCTCGCTGCCCAAGCGTGCTTGCCTATTATCAGCGGCATGCTCAGTGCCATCAAGAACAAAACTCACCCAACAAACTGCTTTCTGAATATTGATTTGCCGACTGATATTGCTAACCATAAAGTAAAGTCTCTCTGGCAGATTTTAACAGACATTCTTCTCATTAACACGCTACGCTTAACTGTTCCTCTGAGTTTCATCATTTGTCCCTATTGTTCTTTCTAAATGTAGGGATACAAGCTAACTAGACAAGGAAAAAACTTGGGTAGAATGGGATGGAGACAAGTGGAGGAGGAAGCACAAGGTGCGAAGATGCTGTCAACAATGGTAATGGAAACAGATTCAGGAGTAGTCTCACACAACGACACATCGGTTCATCATTCAAAAGATAGCCGTTTGTTCAAGAGAGAGGTATCAATTGCTGTTCTACTCTTTACTTCATGTGGTGTACATAGAATTGAATCCCTTGGTTCTTTTTGCTTGAATAGCTAAGGAATGTGGTTGTTGAAGAAGGCACTGATCTTCACTTCCTACAACAAGGATATGTAAGCATCCGCATATAGTATCTCTTAAACTCATCTCCAAAACCGTTACGCAAAATTGATTGAAAAACCGTATTTTGAAACGCAGATTACAGTGACACCGATAGGAGCTCTCTCTCAGGTTGATGTGGATTGCCAAAACTACTACAAAGAATGGCTTCCAAAGATTTCTTCATCCTTGTGATGCCACCAAATGAAAGAAAAAAAAGAACTTTTTTAATAATTTAACCATTGTGGACCACCACAGTTTGTTGTAGACCTATTATCCATACTCTTGTTAATTTATCTATATTGTGGGCAGCTAGTTTTCTTGCAAGTGAATTATAAGCCAGACATGTTTCTTTTTCTTTCGGTGTATGAAACTCTAACGCAATAGTTTAACCCCAACATAAAAAGAACGAGTCTACAATCATATTATTCTTACCTGTTTACATTGACAGCGTACGCAAAAAAAAAAAACCTGCAACAAAAGTTGAAAGTTCATACCGAGTTGTTTATAAAATCTGATAGGCCTGAGTATTCGGTTTCGGATAGGAACCATTCGGTTCTGGGTAAATCGGAGAAATCATTCATATACCCAATAAATACTTATGAGATTTTGGTTCGGTTTCGATTCGGTTCCGATTCGATTCTGAATACTCGTTTAATATATGAATAAAATATATATATATACAAAATATCTTAGAAAATGTGTTAATTTAAATGATCTACTATTTACACACTTATATATTTGTCAATCTAGCAAGAGTTCGAATTAATAAATTATTAATTTTATAAATATCTACTATATTTTAATATAGAATACCATATATATTTAAAAAATAAGAGTACATCAAAGAAAACATGTTCTGATGGTAACAATGTTCTCATTCTTCATGTTCAATATGGATTCAAATGAGCTTGATGTTATTTTGCCTTATACTAAAAAGTTTAAACTTGTTTTTTTGGATATTTGGGTATCCGTTTGGTTCTCGGTTTGGTTCCGATTTCAGTTTGGATTTTCGGATATAAAAATATAAGAACCATTAGGATATTTGAGGATTTCGGTCCGGTTTCGGTCTCCGGTATTTCAGTTATAGTTTTTTCGCGCAGGCCTAATATCTGATCCGAATCATATACCAAACTTTTCTGGTTTTCTCAGTAAAAAATGTATTGGATACCCGGTTCAACCGATCTAATGGGCCTCTATATCCGATTGACATAAAAGAGGAGACCTTTTTTTTTTTTTTGGTCACTGGAGGAGACTTCATAACTATGTTTGCTTTCCGATTCTCTTCGTCGTGTCTTGTTGGTTCATCTCAACCAAAGCACACACGTCACGTTACGAAGAAAAAGAAAAAAATCTTTAAAATTGTCGCTTTTTATTCAAAGCTGTCATTAATTCTCTAGTGCCCATCTCGAATTCGTCCGAACCCGTGTTCCAAAATCCTTTAAGAAAACATCTGAATCCAAAGCGCATCTTTCTTTATGCACTGTTGAGATATATAGTTATTAGTAATAGTAGTTGGTGGTGGCGCATACAGACAGAGATGGGATCCGCCGCTGTAGCTAGTTCTTCTTCTTCTTCTGATGTTGCCATCTCAGGCAAGTGTCTCCTTTTTGTATGTTCTCGTTTTTGAGCCTTGTTGTCTAGATTTCTTTTGAAAACTAGTGATGATAAGAGGGTTACAAGATCTGAATCATGACCTTTTGATTTGTTTGCTTGGAATCAGTAAGGATTTTGAATATTTGTATTAAAAGTTATAGATTTACACTTTTATTTGATATATGGAGGAGATTGTGGATTTTCAAATAGTTCCCTTATCTGAATAAGGAAACTCACACCAACGGCGAATTGGGCGAGTGCCTAGTGGTTAAATCATGGATTACCACCATATTAGGGATCTTGAAAGTCACAGGTTCAAGTTCTTTTAGAAGAGTTAAATTACGCACTTCCCCTGCCTACGAGTGCAAAACTTCCTAGTCGTTCAAGAAAAAAAAGAAACAGGAAAATCACATTGTGGGGGTTAATAATATAATCTTTTGTTAAAAACTTGTAGCTCTGCGTGAGAAGCATGAGAAGGAAGTGGAGAATCTGACACTCACCTCACAACCTTTCAATACTCTGAAGCTATTTGTTGAGGCTACTTTTCTTTACATCAAACGATCCATATCATATCTACTGGCCCATGGAGGCTGGTTCATGCTTATAACCGCTTTGTTGGTGGCCTTTGGAGCTTTGCTTCTTACTGTTGATGGACCTCATGGAAAGGTAAACACTTTTGATTGGACTTAAAACATTCATATCTAGACTTTCCAATTCCATGATTGTATAAAACGAAGCTGTACTTTTACAGCATGTTGAAGAACTATTAGAGTATGTTCGGTACAGCTTATGGTGGATAGCACTTGGCGTTGCATCTTCTATTGGTCTTGGTTAGTCACACACACGTAGCTGTTTCTCAAATAAATCCTTTTTTTTTTCTTTTTGCATTTTTTAACATCGTTATTGTCTTCTATTCAGGATCTGGTCTACACACTTTTGTTCTCTATTTGGGTCCACACATTGCTTTGTTTACTCTAAAAGCAACTCAATGTGGGCGGGTCGATCTCAAATCTGCACCTTATGATACAATACAGTTGAAACGGGTTCCGTCGTGGCTAGACAAATCTTGCTCAGAGTTTGGTCCTCCATTGATGATATCAGCTGCTGGGTCTCGTGTCCCTCTTACAAGCATACTGCCACAAGTCCAATTAGAGGCGATCTTATGGGGTATTGGGACTGCTCTTGGGGAGCTTCCTCCATATTTTATCTCAAGGGCAGGTTCGTATATTTTGCTTCTCTCTCTCTATCTATTTACTTTTGCATAGGATCTCTCATTGTTTATTATCAGCTAGTATCTCTGGGAGCACGGTGGAGGGAATGGGAGAGTTAGATGCTTCACCATCTGAGGATAGTGGATTTATGGCTAGGTTCCTGAACCGGATTAAGCATTGGCTATTAACGCATTCGCAGTACTTGAATTTCTTCACCGTCTTGGTTCTTGCTTCGGTTAGTATATCTTGTTATGTCCTAATGGGAACTACATTCAATGATCTATAATACTTACACACTGCTTCTGCAGGTCCCAAATCCTCTGTTTGACCTCGCTGGAATAATGTGTGGACAATTTGGAATACCGTTTTGGGAGTTTTTTCTGGCGACTTTAATCGGGAAAGCGATAATCAAAACTCACATACAGGTGTGGAGCCTCAGTAATATTTATTTCTCTGGACCTGTTCTAAGGCCTAGGTGGTTTTAACTTTCTTTTGTTTATGTGCTTTGTTTGATGTAAGACAATATTTATTATCTGTGTCTGTAACAACCAATTGCTGGATTGGATGGAGAACGAGCTGATCTGGATACTTAACCATGTCCCCGGTTTGGCTGCTGTATTGCCTGGACTCACAGCAAAACTTCACGCCATGAAAGAAAAGTATATTGATGCACCACCTCCTGTTCCATCTCATATCAAGGTAAAACAAACCATCCTCTTTTTTTTCCTCCTTAGCGTCTTTATGTTCTGGTTTTTACGATAATTTGTATTGAATATGCTTTTGTTGTGTTAGGTGAAAAGATGGGATTTTTCATTTGCATCAATCTGGAATGGGATAGTGTGGCTAATGCTCCTCAACTTCTTCATCAAGATTGTTACAGCGACTGCACAGAGACACTTGAAGACGAAGCAAGAGAAAGAAGTAGCTGCTTTGACTCATTTAGATTGATTTTTCGTCCTTGACATATTGTTCTGGTGGGATTTGTACTTTATAGAACAAAAAAGGGTTGGGAGGAATTGGGATTTTGAGATTGCAGGAGGCTTATTTTGACCCTGTGATTCCATATCGAATGATTTGTTGGAAGAATTCATAAAAAGAAAGAAAAAAAGCTCTAATTGCTAATTTGCTATTCTACTTATTTAAGTTGAAGCTATTTTACGCCCAATCACAACTTTCGTTTTTTCGTTAAACTTTTATTTTGACTGATGCATGTTTATTTCACAAAGACATAAAAACATAATGGTGTTATTTGGAGTTTAGTATAAATTATAACAAGTTGAAGATTGTTATATATTTTCCAGCAAATTGTTAAATTGGCCTTACAGTATAACAAATTATAATTAGATTATTGACATTATAAACTTATATAACTGTTATTATATCTAATATATTGCTCAAGAGTTATATATATTTGTATTCAAAAGATTAATTGAATTGTATATGCTAACTTTTATAATTCAATTAGGTTTGAAAATATTTTTTTTTTTTTTTTTTTTTTGATAACCCAGTATCCGACCACTAAGCGTGATCGACTAGCCCACCGGGCTTAAGCCCATGCCATGACAGGATTTTTAAGCGTCCACTTAAGGGCCCCTGGTTACGCTAAGTGGTCTGGAGCGCCACACCAACTCCGCATGTAAATTATGTGGTGGCCGGGGTTCGAAGTCGGGTGGCGGGCACCTCANTTTTTTTTTTTTTGATAACCCAGTATCCGACCACTAAGCGTGATCGACTAGCCCACCGGGCTTAAGCCCATGCCATGACAGGATTTTTAAGCGTCCACTTAAGGGCCCCTGGTTACGCTAAGTGGTCTGGAGCGCCACACCAACTCCGCATGTAAATTATGTGGTGGCCGGGGTTCGAAGTCGGGTGGCGGGCACCTCAGCCGAGGTTCCTTTACCACCAGGCTACGAAGCCCGGTTAAATATAATATTGTTATTGTTATTGTAGCTAAGTACAAATATAATATCTGTTGACAAAAAAGTCCAAATCTGATAATATTTATATTTTTAATATGCCGTAAATATTTAGAAAGACTAAAAAAATGTGGCCCGATATATTTCACTTTAATTCAAAATCTTAAGTCGAAACTTGCGTCCCCCTAATCTATTTGGGTAAATTAGTGTTTTAAACACTTTTTAAGTTTTAATTATAGAAATGGGGTACTTTGACTTTTAATAGGAGAAATAGACAACATAGGATATAATTTTTGTAGAAGTACCGTAGCATATTGATTAAAGTTTAAAAGTTTTTACACCAAGTCTGGAATTTGAATCTCAAACTACGCAGTTTCTACACCAAGAAGATTTCAACTATAGGAGAAGGTAAATGACGAATTATGCATATTATTGGAAAAAAAATTGCAAGAGATCTTCAACATGTCGCAATGCGTACCGTCAGGAATGGATCTTATATAACGGCTCAAGATAATGCAGTCATACATGAATCCGCATAAGGTCAGGTAGAATTATTAACTATATTATCGTCTATATAATATTTCTCATAGTTTATAATGCATAATTATCCAATATTAGAAAAAGACAACATAGGATGAGAAATATTTCTCTTCTTTTTAATGGTTTTTGCCTATAAAGTTGAAAATTTATCTACAAAATTTAAAACTTTTACCATTAAATTTTGTAACCCATAAACATTTTTTCCCCACAAAAATCTGGATAATGTTTATACGTGTACGCGCTTAATCCACATAGAAGTTTGTAGGCAATTTTATGTGGGAAATTTGACAAATGGGTTTAAAAAATAAGTGTGATTATGTGGGCATGTGTTACCCTAAAATTTTTTAACTACCTTTTTTCCCGGGAAAATGTGTGGTAGATTTGGAAAGGAAATATTTTTGAGGGGTCAAATCCATGAGTCCTGGTAACGACACCACAATTTAATAGACTTTAAAGGTCGAATGATCTAAGAGCACCATCAACGCGGGGGTTTAGGGAGGTGCTTAGGTGATTTTTGGTTGGGAAAATTCTTTAAAAATACCCAAACTAATTATATCTTACTAAATAAATACACGAACTATTTTGACGACCCGAAAAACACACAGACTAAATTTCGTTACCCACAAAATACCTGAAGTTTTGAAATTCGTAGGTTTCACACCGGGTTTTTAACGACGTTTAATCAATTTAACAGAAAGTTAAGATGGCGTTAAAGCTTAATTGAACACGTGATTAAACCGTTAAAAAATCTGTTTCTTTCATAAAATCCCCAAATCGATAGAACACGAACCCTAATTTCATTTTTTCTCCTTTTTTCTCAGAATCTCGAGAACACACCGAAAGAGATGGCTAAGAGTGAAGGCTCAAGTTCAAGTGGAATCTCATCCTATAAGAAGAAGTATGATGGTCCTTTATGCTACTGCAAGAAGAAAACGACTATGGCAAAATCGTAGACAGATGACAATCCTGGTCGAAGGTTTTGGTTGTGTGATTCTCATGGGTTCTTGACGTGGGTTGATACAGAGGAGAAAAATGGATGGCAGAAACAGAGTTTACTGGAGGCCAGAGACGTGATGAATCGCCAGAGAGAAGAAATCAAAGACCTGAAACAGTCACTTAGGATAACTTCTCAACAAACCACAGCTGGAGAATCAACCACATTATTGTTGGAAGAAGGGGATAGACTCGCAAATGAGAAGAATAATCTTGAAATTGCACTCACTGCATCGGCTGAAAAGGAGAAATTGCTCAGGCAATTTGTTGTTCTTTCGTGGGGATGCTTCATTGTCATCACAATCATCATCGTTGTTGGAATGTTGAAGAAGTAGTTATGGTTGGTGTCTTATGTTGTCATGTTTCAATAGGATCTATGTTTCTGTTTCAATGTTTCATTATGTATGTGTCTTAGTTTTTCTTGGAGTGCTTGTGTCTTGTTTTTTATTTTCGATGGATCTGTGTTGCTTTGTGATTTTTGTAGTAGCATCCTTTTCATCAATGAAGTATTTTTTAGTTGTTCTATTTTGTGTCTTCTTCGTATCATCTTTGTTAACAATAAAACATAACATAGACAATCTTAAATAAGTTTGAAAAGAACATCATCCTTCAGAGTTTTAACAACCAAAAGAACATCATCCTACAGAGTTTTAACAACCAAAAGAACAACATCCTACAAAGTTTTAAGAGTGAGAAAAGAACATCATCCAACAAAGTTTTAAAACTGACAAAAGAACATCTTCCAACAGAACCTAAGAGTCTGGAGGTTCTTGTTGAGAACCTTGTGAATTACGATCAACAGCAGTAGGTCCCCATTCCTCAAAGACACGGCCAGAGTAAGGAGCAATATAGCAACCAAACTCTCTTGGAACAGAAGGCTCACGTCCGCGACCTCGACCACGTCCTCTCCCTCTTCCTCTCCCGCTTCCACGGGGACAGCCACGTCCTCTAACACTTGGAGCATTTGAAGACTCTGGAGTAGTTGAAGGTTGTGGATCAACACAAGGTTGTGTGCTAACCGGGTTTGGTGTGGACTGGATTTGAGCATTCCTCCTCTTCTTCGGTGCATTTTGAATGCTCCAAGGATCCTCCTTATTAAGACAACCATATATGAATACCAATTACATACACATCTACAAATAAAAAATATATACAAATCATGTAGTTACTTACCTAAGTTTTTTTTGGACGTCCTCTTTTGCGTTTAGGAAGTGCAGGAACAGCTTGTCGAGTACAAGTTCCACAATTATGACCAGCTTGCTTACAATTGCTACATATCATAACCCTTCCATCTCTGGTGGCCTTTGTCGGGTTTGATTTTGACTCATGCGCCTCCTTGATTCTATCAAAATTTTTCAGACGTCCTGGCATTCTTCTCTTTTCAGGAATTTGTATAGGATCTTTAAATGTCTTCTCCCACAACCTCTCTCCATTGACAGGTTTGATGTTGTTTTCATAAGTCTCTTGCCACTTTGAGATCATATAATAACTATCAACATAGCTAGAAAATATATACAAGAGAGATAGTTAGAACATATATAAGACAAACAAATCCCATAATTCAAACACGAGAGACGTTACGACACTCACTCTTCAGGCTCCTTGTTATGATCATTGATGACATAAATAGCATGCTGGCAAGGTATCCCCGTGATGTCCCATCGATTACAAGCACAATGTTGTTGTGGAAGACATACCTCGTAGTTACAGTCAAACTCAGTGACTTCATATAGACTTTCACTACTTTTAATAACCGTGTAGTGTTTACTTGCTTTGTGGTTTTGCTCAAAGATCTCCATGCTGTTTGGTGGAAATGGCTTAGAACAACCACTAGTTTTGTCACGTCTTCGAGAATTACGCTTCATTGCAAGTCTCCTAATCTCCTCAAGCATGTTAATCAATGGCAACTTACGAGCTTCCCTGATTGTTCTGTTGAAACTTTCTGAGAGGTTGTTACACACATCTTCACATCGTGCATGTGTACTGAAAAAAGCTCTACACCATGTCTTTGGTTCTGTTTTCAGTAAATCATCATGTGCCATTGCATCAAAGACTTCTAAAGCATACATATTGAACTGATAATCACCTTGTGTGAAGCTGTATGCAATTGCCCAGAAATAATCCTCATATTTTGACTGTCCATAAACCTTCCTCCAGTTTGCAAAAATGTGCCTAGCACAATGTCAATGCTCTGCATCAGGAAGAAGCTCTGCAACAGCATTTATCAAACCTTTCTGCTTGTCAGATATGATGGTGAATCCATTTCCTAAACCTAAACCCCAATCAGTCTTCAACTTATCAACAAACCAAGCCCATGAGGCATTATCTTCCACCCAAACTATTGCCCACGCTACAGGATAAATCCGATTATCTTCATCTCGACCAACAACTGCAAGAATCTCACCTTTTAACTCCCATTTCATAAAAGCCCCATCAAGTCCTATACTAGGCCGGCAACAACACTTCCATGTGTTCCTAAGAGTCTCAAAGCAAATGTAGAATCTATCAAACACAAACTTACCATCTTCACGAGGAATAGTCACAATCTCAGTCGTCGTGTTAGCATTTGAACGCCTCAGCTCCTTCTCATAATCCCACAGTTTGGCGAATTGTTCCCTTTGGGTTTCTATAACCAAATCTAGAGCCATTCTTCTTGCTTTCGTGCATATCTATTTAGAAACTGAGAGACTGTACCTCATCATTATCTCATCC